ATGGCATTATTCCCAGCAGACAATTCCACTCATTAAGACCAAAATTGGAACTCAGTGTACAATGATATTAAATGTAAGTACATGTGTCAAAGCAACAGTTACAACCATGTAAGTTTCTGGCAAACAGACTTAACTGAGAAGTAGTGGCAAACACAAACCATATGTACATTGCATTCTGCTTGGAAGCAAAAAATTCCACAACTAACTGTGCTGTTCCCTTTAAACGACTGTGATTAGAAATTAATATATTTACACCGGGCTACAGTTCTTATCATTTTCTATGTTGATGTGTAACATAATTGTTTATCATAGCTTGACATGCGTTCCAGTTAATTAAATATTGGAATTCTAATGAGTGCAAGAAACAAACAGAATTACTCAAGGCTAATTGAGTGAAATTGCCCCATAGGTATTAGGGCAGTACAAAATCCATGTATTACACAAATCACACTTAAGCTCTCAATTCAAAGACAGTTTAGGCAGAGTTTAGAGAAAGCGAAAAGAAAATCATATACTTGGTCCTACTCAGCACCAATTGCTTTCCTAGTTCTGATTTATTTGCTGTTTCAGAAGGTGATCTTGAACTGTTCACCAGAGCACCTCAAGAGATAACAAGGTCAAATGGTCACAAACTCCTCCAAGACCATTTCAGGCTGGACATAAAGAAGAACTTCTTTACTGTCTGAGCCCCCAAGGCCTGGAACAAACTGCTGCCAGGGGTGGGGCAAGCACCTACTCTGGACTCCTTTAAAAGACATTTGGACATTTACCCTGCTGGGATCCTTTGACCCCAGCTGACTTCCTGCCCCTGGGGCAGGGGGCTGGACTCGATGATCTTCTGAGCTTCCTCCCTGCCCTAATGACTATGAAATCTATGAAACTGTGACTATGATAAAAGAAGAGCCTCCTCTCTTTCTATTTGACTCAATTTCTGGACTTGAGTATGTATCTGTGATAAAATAATCAAGAGAAATTATTTCTTACAAAAAGTAAAGTGCCCAGATTATCTGAGAGAAGCATAAATATACCAAATTTACTCAAATACATGATAATCTTTTTCTCCCAATTGGCATAGGGAAAAAGCCCCCATCTTATAATCACATTCAAGGAAATCTCACATTGTGGCCGCAGCTAAACAAAAAAGCTGTTCATCGGTGCAACTGTGCACTAACTCTGGTTACGGTGCATTCAGCATCTCATGTAGATGTGGCCTGTCTGTCATTAAACTGCTACCAAAGCAGCAAGTGCTCAGCAATGGGAACCAACTATAAGGGTGATTAAATGCAGCCAACACTGATCATGACAATAAAATGCATGGCCCACATTGGGCAAACAAGCTGATGGGAACCTACCACAAAGGTAGGTTAATCAGCACATCTGAATATAAATTATATGGTAGTGCCCATTGACATTTTTCAAGTCAAGGTGAGCCACAACATTGCATACAGTTCATCCAGAATCCCTCTGTCAGTCCTTCTTAGCCTGGCACACATAATTAGTGTAGCCCACCCTCTGTGAGGTGAAGCCAGACCAGGTTGCCTTGTACCTCATCTGCATGTGTATTTTTAGAGCATTCCTGGACTTGCCCCAAGAACACCAGGTTCCAGTCATGACCGGGGGCTAATTAGCACATGGCTCCTTTGTGAGGGGTATCTGGAGTATACACACATAGTAAGCAGTGTTGAGCTATCGTGTCACCATGGTGGGGGTGGGGAGGGACACACAAATCATATATACCAGGCTGAGAGAGGGCATGACAGAGGGAATCTGGGTGACCTATATGCAATGTCATGGCTCACCATGGCTTTAAATGCTGTTGACTCTGGTGGGGCCCAGCCCAGTGAACTATGTGGTAAACTATAAGTCTTTTGGTTTTGGACTAATAATATGCATAGTTTATACCTAGATATAGGTAGGTACTAAAGTGTTCCTCAAAAATATTTATGAAACACCTGTGCTAAAACTTGCAGTAGTTAAAAAAAAAAAAGCATGCATCAATTCTGGATGAACTAAGTCTATGGGTACTATATGCAAATTGCTACAGTCATGTTTAATTTCAAATTATCAAATTTGCTCCTCACTTCCACATGCTCAGGGAGAGCAGGGTCTAACAGTAAGGGGAGAGGGAAGGGGCTGCCAAGGGAAAAAGTTGGGGGGAAGCAAAAAGCAAAGGACTACCTGATCCCCCAGATTTATTTTCCCTGCTGTAGCAATAGAAGGGGGGCAAAGTCAAGGCAAACCTCCAATAATTAGATTTTATACCTGGAAAATTACAACAAATTATAAATGTTCCGTATATAGAATCTAATTATTGAGGGGTTGCTTTATAATCAGGGGCATCTTCTATTTGAGTAAATATGGTATGTCTTTCTCTAAATGCCAGATAAATAGTTAAAAATACAAAAATAAAGCCCATTAAATATGGATTATATTAATAAGGTATACAGAATTTGGAATAGACAGCCAAACACAAAAAATTGAGGTACAGTCCTGTAAGGTGATGAGCAGCTTTAGCTCGCAATAAAGTTAATGCACCAGATCCTTGACAGATGTCAGCTGGTTCCATCAAATTTAGTAAACCTCCTCTAACTTACAACAGCTGAGTACTTAGATGACTGGTTGTTGATGCCTTTTGCTATCTTGTTGCACAAAAAGGCTTAATTCCTGTTTTTAGATAACTTCTGTCCAATATGCTGTGGTCTGAGAAATAATATTAATAAAACAAATACTTCTCTGAACTATCCATGTACCCATGTATCTTGGTAAGTTGTTACCAAGCAGTACAATTTCTGTGGCTCTGATCACCATAATGTCTATGCATTGAGTAACTTCCACCAAGTACACATCCATCGAGATGTCATAGAGTATCAAAGCAGGACAAAAGGTGACCCCCAGTTATGTCTCTCAAATTGACTGATACCATTTAAGTGAAGGTGCTGGTCTCTTCTTTTACTTGATATTTCTCTCAGCAATGCTTAAATATTTGCTTCCTCATATCTTGGTTTCCCAGGATAGCTGAAGAGAAATATCTTGACAAAGAGATGAACTCAGGCCTCAGAAGCCCAAGATACTGTTCTTTGTAAAATAATGATGGTTACATCTCTTACTGTGTGTAAGTTTCCCAGGAAAAATGCTAAGGCACACCACTGAGGATGTAGATATGCACCATTCTTACTATGTAGTAAGCTAACTTTACTATGTAGAAAAATTAGAGCGGGCACAGGATGCACACTTCTACTACACGATAAATCATCAGGATAAATCTGACACACGAACAATTTTAATGTGTAATAATTGTATCATACAGGAAAGTTACGGCATCAACTCTATGGTGTGACCATTCCCCTAAACAGTTTAGCTTTGGGGATCAAAGGCTTAGTGCAATCTGCCTCTTCTTCTACCTGGTAGCCAGACTCTGTAATAACACCTACTGTGACAGCTGGTTTGGGTGGACTGATTGTTATGTCCTGTCCATTCCTTCTTATGGAGTAAATGTACTATAAAGTAAAATCCAAGATAAATTACTCCATAATAATCATGTCATATGCCCACTGTAGCTTGGATTTAAAATGTCTGTGTCAATCTACTTTTATTCCATTTTGTGCATTTTCATTGCTTCTCCATAGGATGGTCACTGTGTCAGCACTGCCCCTGTCACTGGTTCCATCCACGTGTGCTCTCTGCCCAGCGTCCTAGGAGACAATATGCTTTATTTTAACGGGTAGGTCAGAATCTTGGCATATGTTTTTCACTCCTGTTGGAGTGTTGTTGTTCATTACAACCAGTATTTCTATCTCAGTAGCAGGAACATTTGGTCCTTCAGCAAGGGAGAGCTTGGAAATTGAGTGATACACCAAACACAGACAAGTTATTTCACAGTCTAAGTGCACCCTTTCTCTCCCATCTGAGAACTGTCAAAGGTTTCAGTGAGCCAGCCACCTCCCAGTACCAAAGTCTGTGACTGTACATGCAGTAGCATGAAGCTTTATATTCTACAGCTTTAAAAAAACACAAAAAAGTCAATCAAATGGGTTTCCATATACATCTGTAATTGTTTTGCATCTTCTTAGGAGTGAAGTGTTCTGCGCAGTCTGAATGTGGTATAACATAAGCAATAGACTTCCAGCTGCTCTTTCATGACTAGAAAGGGCTAGATCTGGTAACATCTTCTCAAGAAGCAACACTGTTGGTTTGCAAATTGTTTAGTGCTCTGTCCTTGTTGTACTTTTCTGACTAGCATATGTGTAACAGTACCAGGAAGAGCCTGGCCTAAAGAAGAGATAAGCTCTAGTGAGACAGGTTTCCTTCCAACTCAAGTGGTGCTAGAAAAGCAGATCCATGATTCTTTCATGCAAGGTTTTTCACTCTGTTTAAATACCATGCCCAAACTCTGTGTAAAGCAGAAAGCAATATGCTATTGGTGCCAAACTGCTGGATATGAGCTGTATCTGAGCAACTCTGACTCTCACCCACTGAAAGATAAGTGTTCTCTATTAGTAGGTGGGTGTCAATAATGTAGGGACTTAGGAAAAGGGTGTGTGTGTGTGTGTGTGTGTGTGTGTACACACTCTGCTTGTAGCAGTCAGTCTTCAGTGGATAAAATTCCTGTTAATACTGACAAGTAAGGGAAAATTTTCACAAACTATATTGTTTGAAATCTGTAGTTAGGAGCCCTGGGTTTTCTCATGAGTGATATGGATGTGCAACTGATGTCTATCTGTGCACAACCAGAGACATTTTAGAAACAAAGTAACATGAATGCTTGAGGCCTATCCATGTGCAGTCTATTTGCAATGCTGCACTACTTCTTTCTTAGACATGCACACACTCTCTACATTTCCTGTGATCATGCAGCCTTAAGATATTTTTGTTATGTCAAGGAAGAACATCTATTCTTCCAAAAATTGACAGCAACTGACCACAGTACACATCCTGGAATCGAACTATGATATCTTCTGCTGCTCTTAGTATCTATGTGTAATAAATTAAGACAGCTGGTCTCCAGACACTTCTGAAGACGTCTTTCATTTCTAGATGGAATTATGTCTGGAGCTTAGCATCATGGAGCCCTTGGAGACCTCTGATTGCATGGTTGATAAAGGTAAATGCTCATATTCTTCCACTGATATTGTCAATGAATTACGCTGACAGTTCAGAATCAGTGACTTCATTTCTTTTTTGAAATTACTGTTTAGGAAGCCATAGATAACTGGGTTGACACAGGTGGAAGCCATGGCTACCAGGTGGCACAATGAAAAGATTAGGTTATGGTGGCAAGGAGGAATGGCTTTATAATTCCAGTCCTCAATGGTATTGAAAATGTGCAGAGGTAACCAGCAAATAGCAAAGGCAGCAACCATGGATGCTAACAAAAAATTTATTCTCTTCAGTTGAACTGTCCTGTTACTATATTCATTCTTCTCAAACATTTCCTTTCTTTTCTGCAGGTGTATGTAGATACGCACGTAGCAAAGCATGATAAAAAAGAGGGGGATGAAGTACTGGAACAGCAATAAGGTGGTGGTGTAGATGAGTCTTTGTTGCTCAGAAGGCCATGAGTCCATGCATATGGCCTTGTCAGTGGAATAATTCATGAAATAAGAGAGCTGCTTGTACAAGTCATTTGTCAAAATGGAGGTGGTCAGGAAAGGTAGGGACACCAGGCAGGCTAATGTCCATGTAACTACAATCCCCAGATAGGCTTGGGTGACGCTTGGCCTCCAGCCAGTTGGGTTTATGATGAGCTGGTGTCTTTCCAGAGCAATGAGAACCAGGGAGAGAATTGACACAGTCACAGATGCACACTGGGTGAAGGAGGTCATTTTGCACATGACCTCACCAAATATCCAGTAATCCATTATGGTGTAGACAATGGTGAAAGGGAGGCAGACAATAACCATGAACAAGTCAGAGACTACCAAGTTAGAAATGAGGATGTTGGTCACATTGGCCTTTTCTTTCTGTTTGGCTATGACACCAATCAGACACATATTCCCTACAATGCCTAGGATGGTCTCCAGGCTATATGAGGTGACCAGAAAGACGGTGAGGTCAGTGCTGTTTCTGCACTGATCTGGAATGTGTGTAGGGACACTTCGATCTGAACTCCAGTTCTTACCGAACAGTAATGGAAGAACCACATTAAGAGCTTTGGTCTTGTTCATCCTGGAATCAAACAGAGTGCTCAGAAAGATGCTAGATAACCAGATGGGATCTCAGTCTTCAAGGAGCTATAAGAGGTTCATCTGCTGATTTACCTGTGGAATCTGGAAATACCTGCAGAGGAAAGAGAGAGTTTGTTTAATTCTACTGCAAGGGAGGTAAGGAGGTGAGCTTTGTCTTCTTCTGTGCCCACTTTTCCAACTTCCTTTGCTTCATTGTTTTAGACCACAAACAGGAGTAATTCACTGGGTACTGCTGGTTGTTTCTAGACAGTACTATTTCTCCATGTGCATCAGGGAAATAAGCAGATCCAATTCCACTGATGTTAGTATTGTTATCACTCCTTATGCCAGTGGTGACTTTGTTTCATGGATTTAATCATCTTGTAGCTAACTCCAAGTAATTCTGTGAACATCAGCAACATAACAGAGCTGCATTTCAAGGAGGATAGGGTTAAATTATGGTTTAGGATGAAAAACAACTGAAACTCTTTGGATTCAGAAAGTTTTGACTCAAAGACAGGCTAAATTAATTGGCATAGGCCAGATTTCATTTTTAGCTAGACTAATGTCAAAATGAAAGCCAAGTTGCACAAACTACATAAAGTTGAAACAAACCACGCTGCACAAGTAATCTGTGAACTGAACACACAATCCGATGCTAAACCCATCGCTATCTGATCTGGACAGGGGCACCTGGAAAATATTTATACTCAGCTCCTCAACCGGTATAAATGGACACAGGTCCACTGAAGTGAATGGAAATATGAAGATTTATCCCACCTGGGGAAATGGTCCTTAATTATTGGAGGGTTCAATATAATTAATTTTATTTTTAAAAAATGCAAATGCTAAAATAGCTACCTCACAAACTCAGAATGAAATTATTGAAATTTTTCATGTAAATTGGTGAAAAGATTTTTAGTCAGTTTGGGATGGACTATGGGCAAAGCCAAAAGAAAAATGGGAAGGAATTCATAAATGAGTGGGATGCCAAAGAAACTTTTATTAATAATTCATGCAAAACTTTAAATAAAATAAGACTAAAAAGACCCGGTTTTCAGAGGTGCTGCTGAGCATGCACAGCTGCCCCTTGAGTTATAGTCTGATTTTCAAAGAGGCCTACATGATTTCTCCAAAGGTGAAATTAATATTACATACATTTGGAGCTGGCATCAAATTAGTTAATTTGGAGGGATAATATGCAATAGGTTTTCTTTTTCTTTCCCAAAGTAATTTAGAGTAGTAAACAGACCAGAACTCAGAAGGGCATATTTTTTAGTTAGGTATATAGGAAATTAGGACTTTTGTCAGAGGTAACAAGACCTGTATATCTATTTTCCTATATTCAGAAATCCTGCTGGAAATGCCCATTTTCCCCCAGATTTTTCAATTTTCTGTAGGAAAATCAAAACAAAATATCTTGTTTCTGGTCAGGGTGACCCAAAAGGAGACCTTCAAGTTTTGTCAAAACAAGGTGATGCCTTTAATTTCAGGTCCATTTAACAGTCACCTGTTTCTGCTTAAGCTGCTGCACACCTCATGGAAGTTGAATTTCAGGTGCTCTTGCCCTGAGTGCTGTCTGTGGAACGGGCTCCATGACTGGACAACACCCCCTGAGAAGTGCTACAGTCCTCCCTGGGATGGTAGGCACCATGGCACTTTGTAGGAAATGTACTCAATCAACACAGTGGGCTAAGGCACAGACTTTTCATTTCATTTGGTTAAAACCTGGCCTGGGCTATAACTGCATGTGTTTTGGGTGACCTTACCCCATCACCTTCTGACCAGTATATATTTGTTTGCATCATGAAGTCACTACATCATTCGGCAGCAGGAAGAGTCTCTAACCAAGAGACTTGTATTAACAAGGTGCATCTACATGTGCAATGAATATGAAGCAATAAACTCCAGCAGTTTATTCATTAAGGCACAGTAGTTACTGTGCATTTAGTTTAATACTTGCTTACTGAAGTACTAACAAATGCACAGTAGCTACAGTTACTGTGCAGTAGCGCTGGTGCACCTTTTTGTGATGCTTACAGCATAGTAGCCTAATAACACTGCGCAGTAGCATATTAACATGCCTTTTGACCTGCACGCTACTGCGCAGTGTTATTAGGCTACTGCACAGTAAGCATCTCGTGTAGATGTGCTCAATGAGTGTGAATCCTGTAGGCATGATGGTGGCAAAGATACAAGTTGTCACCGTAAGAATGGAGTTACCTTGTTACAATGATGAGTTACAAACAGTTGCCTAATCCCCACCAGAGTCCAAACCCTTTCAGCCTCACCAAGGAGCCTTGGTGCAAGACAGTCATGCTGAAGCCAAAGGCAGGAAGTGACACACTAAAATGTCATCTAATCCACCACCCTGCTCCAAGCAGGATCATTATCTAAACCAGGGCTGTCAAACTGGTGACCTGCAGGCCTCATGTGGCCCAGAAGGCTCCCAACAAGCCCTGGGAACCCAGGGGCTCCCACCAAGCTGCCATGGCAGGCTGCAGTGGCTGGGGTCTCTGTGGTCTCCCTCCCTCCTCTAGTGTTTGCTCTCTGTCCCTAGGGGCAGGACAGGGTAGTGCAGTGAGGTGGGAGGGGCTCCAGGGGGGGGGGACCAGGCTGTCTGTTCGGATTCGGCCCAAATTGGGGACAGTGATTCGATTGGTTGATTTGGATCACTGTCCCTGATTCAATTCAGCCATATCCGAATCTGAAGATTCGATGCTGATTCAGAGAATCAGCAATTCAGACATAGACACTGCTTTAAATGTTTTTTCTACATACCTTAAGGTACCAGTGCAGCTTGTAAACGCTGAGATGGTGGAGTGGATGAAGTGTCCCACAGGAGTACGGGGGGGGGCCCTCCATGTGCTTGGTGGCAAACCCAGAAGTGAACCAGAAGTACTTCCAGTCCACTTCTGGGTCTGCTGGGGAGTGTGCTGGACCACCCCCCTCCCCACCCCTGCCCCCGCACGTCCCTGGCTCAGCAATTGGCCACGGGGGGAACCTGGATGCCCCCCCCAGACCCAGGAGGCACCAGTCACTGGGCTGGGGGGGGGGCATGGGAGGAACATGGGGTGGGGTGCACTCTCCGGCGGACCCAGAAGTAGACCAGAAGTGCTTCTGGTCTACTTCCAGGTCTGCTGCCAAACGTGCTGAGGACCACCCCAACCATCCCATGCTTCTGTGGGACACTCCATGCGTCCCAGCACTGCAGCATTCACAAGCCGCCTGATACCTAGAGCTATGTACAAAAAACATTTAAATCTGTGACTATGTCCGAATCGCTGAATCTTTCCAAATCTCTCTGAATCAATTTGGAGGGTTCCGATTTGATTCAGAGAGATTAAAGGGTCTTCTGATTCAATTTGGATTCAGAGACTTGGCCACTGAATCGGGCTGAATTTCTGCTGAATCAAATCAGACCGAAGTGTCACACAGCCCTATCACTCATGCAGCATGTGGCCCCTCATTGCTCTCAAACTGGACAGAGACTCCACACACTCTCTAGGTAATCTGTTTCAGCGCAGGCTGTGACATGATATCATTTTCAGTTGCATTAAGGCAGTGGCTCTCAACCTTTGGTACCTTAAGTACCCCTTGCCGATCAACACAGCAAAAGCAAAACCGGAAATCCCACTGTGGCACTGCCAGTTTTGTTGCTGCAAGCCAAGACCCACTTTTTCTGCCACGGCCTGGGTCAAAGCAGCCTGAGCAGGGCCTCCCTCCCTATGCCCTGGCACACTGACGCTGGGGAGCGAAATCCCTGGCGCACTGGACGGGGTTGGGGGCAGAGGCTGGAACTTCCAGCCCAAGCAGGCAACGACCCAAAAGCAGCACCCACGTACCCCCTGCCCGTGTCTCACTTAGCCCCAGGGGTACACGTACCACGGGTTGAGAAACACTGCATTAAGGGGCTGGGGAACAGCAAAGTAAGATTTGCACTTCAGTTGCATGCATCAGCTGTTACCTGTTACATCCGCATGCTTCTATAGGATACAAAGGAGCCAGACAGCTGTAACTTTAACCTGGAATGGAATATCATAATGGTTTTGCTACATGTGTATTGTTTTGGGAGCATGTAGACATTTATATTGTGACCACTTATATCAGTATCATTGAATACTAATGTATTTGGCACATCTTCCTACTGCCTATCTTCAGTCTCCTCTAAACTACGCAATCCACATTCTTGCAGCTTTCCCCCTATGTTATATTTCTGGGAGCTCTCAAAAGGCTGTCTAGACATTCAGTCTTATAACGGTCCCTCAAAGTGGGAAAGGAATTAATTATTACCCTTATCCACAGAGGAGGGAACTGAGACACAGAAAGGTGACATACATCCTTGCCCTGTATCCCAAGGAAATCCATATGATGTTATAAAGGTTCATAAACAACGTCCATCAACCTGGCCTCCGAGGCAAAGCCAGGACTGGAACTCCTGGGCTCACAATTCTGTGCAATCCTTTTACCACTGACTAGAACTGGAAAAGCTGGTCTAGGAAAGTAAGGGATAATAGGGTCACCTTCCCTTTGCATCCCACCTTTTCCCCCTGGAGCTCCAAAGACTCTTCCTACCACCTATTCACAAGGATCACTGAATGTATCATAGGTAGGGATGGATAAATCCTTATCAGCATGCAGTTTATACACTGAAGGACGCAGCATCTGTTGACCTAAAATTATTTGTGAATGCAACCTGAATAGTTCCAGACTGGCCAAGAAATGGTGAGACTAAATTATCATTCACGGAGCTAACAAGTAGGTGGTGGGACCTCCCCCGATCCCTTCCAAATCTGTACAGCCTAAAGTTTAAGTCACTATCTTGGAAGGCTGGAGACATTAGTTCAAATCCCTGCCCTGAATCAGGCAGGAAAGGAATTTGAATGTGGGTCACCTAATAAATTTCTTCCTCTGGTAACTCTGGCCCTTGACTTTTAACAAAAATGCCTGCAAATAAATCAAAACATGCTGTTTCAAGTCAAATGAAACATTTCATCCAA